GTAATAGTGTAGGGTAAATATTGAACAGCACAAGAAACATCAAGAGAGGATAGAAGGAATATACACAGAGTCACTGTACAAAAAAGACTTGATCAACATTCAACCATTTCAAAAGGTAACATGTGATCTAGAACCAACGGTATTGAACAAAGAAATCCAAACTACACTGAAGGCAATGGGGGGAAACGGGGCTCTCGGAATTGACAAAATATCAATTGAGATAGTCAACAAGTAGGTAGGTGCAAGGCTGGAAACTCTCCTGTGTCTACTCCAAGAAATCTGGAGCATATGGCCACCTGACTAGAGGAGATCCATATGTCTGACCAACTGCAATGGCATCCTTTTTATCTGAAGTTATTGTAAAAGGGGGATAATCGACTCTAAATATCGATCTATCAGCCTTTTTTAAATCTGTACAAGGAGTCTTTTTAAATCTGCAAATTGAATAGAGATAAATGTCACTGCATTCCTGACTAATATTTCCCTGTTCATAACTGATGCTGTTTCTGCATACTTCTATTTGCAGTCTGTGCTTCCTTTTTGAGGAAAACAATGCTTGCTACTCCCAACAAGAGTTACCGTCTTAGAGAAACTCAAAGTGGCAGTTCTATGCCGTCCTTAAGGGTCACTTTGAGTCAGCGTTGACTGGATGGCAGGAAGTTTGCCTTTGTTTTGGGTTGGCACGTTTTTTGTTGTTTGGGGGTTTTGGGGGGTATTGATTGGGTTCCTTTTTATGAAGTTTTTTTCACATTTCATACCTTTTTTCTATTTGAGATTTTCTTATTAAAGTAGGTTTTATATAGATACTAATTGAAACTAATCTGTCAGTTGTTCTTTGAATATGTTCCACACAACTCTTATCACAATCCATACACACATCAATTGTGTAAAGCGCATTTGAACATTCATTGTCTTCATCATTCTCAAAACATTTCCTCTCCACTTAAACCCCCGGCATTAGGTCCTCATTTTTCCCCTCCCTGCTCCCCACTCCCTCATGAGCCCTTGATAGTTTATAAATTGTTATTTTGTCATATCTTGCCCTGTCCGACGTCTCCCCTCACCCACTTTTCTGTTGTCCATCCCCCAGGGAGGAGGTCACACACAGTTCCTTGTAATCGGTTCCCTCTTTCCTACCCACTCTCCCTCTACCCTCCCTGTTTCGCCACTCACACCACTGGTCTTGTAGGGCTCATCCGCCCTGGATTCCCTGGATTTTCAGTTCCTATCTGTACAGTTCCTATCTGTACAGAGTGGCTATCAAGGGCTCATGAGGGAGGGGGCAATGGGGAGGAAGGGGAAAAATGAGGACCTAATGCCAGGGGTTTAAGTGGAGAGGAAATGTTTTGAGAATGATGAGGGCAATGAATGTACAAATGAGCTTTACACAATTGATGTGTGTATGGATTGTGATAAGAGTTGTATGAGCCCCTAATAAAATGATTAAAAACACAAACAAACAAACAAAAGAATAAGTTCCATAGTAGGTAGTAATGTTTTTTATCTTATTGAAGTCAATTTTGAATCAACTAATTTCTTCAATTTTAGTACAGTCCAATGTATATTCCCTTTTATAATAAATGTTTTTTGTCTTTTCCTTAAGAAAATGTTGCTTAATCAAAGCACTTACACATACCTAATTATTTTTTGTTAAAATGGCAAAAGTGTTGTTGTATTGTTGTTGTTGATATTGCTGGTTTACATTTAAGGCCTTAATGCTTCCAAAGTTTATCTTGAGCTATGACATCAATTTCACCTTTCCATGTTGTGATAGGTAGGTGTATGGTGCCAACCTGGCCAATGAACACATGTGGGATTAATTGAAGGACAGAGCGATAAATGGCTTGGCGAGCCTCGCCTTTCTTGTGTCTTGCTCTTTGATGATCGGACCAGTGTGAGGCTGCCTTAGCTGGTTCTCTGCCTCAACTTGCAAGCTACACTACCAGTGGGACACCTAACCCGTGGACTGTGTCCAAGACCTGCTTCACCACGCTACTGGAGTATACATTGCTTGAGCTGGGGTCTGTCAGACCTTGTCATCTGGCTGACTGTTGGTGACCTATCTCACTGCATTTGCTGCCTGTGGCCAGATTGCCTGAACTACTTTACAGAGGACTCAGCTGTCTGCTTCCTTGACTTGTACCTGGTAGCCGTCAAGACCTGAAGGACTGCCAGTGTCATGGAAGAGTTGCACTGAGCCATTTGTATTGCTCCATAGATTAATTCACTGTTTATTTTGTATGTTGTATATCTATCTATATAAATATATATATAAAGCCATAATTTCCCTGTTTTGGATTCTCTAGAGAACCCTGTCTAACATATTTGTGTTCTTAACATTTTATATTTAGCTTCATTCATTGAACAGAACCATTGATCTGCAGTGCCTCTTTGTCATATACTCAATGTGCCAAATATCGTGGGTTTGTTTCTAGGATGTATTTTTTAATTCACTGGTAAAATTTTTTAACATTTGTGATAACATCATACAGCTTTAGTTATGCTAGATTATAAAACCTAGTATTTCTAAGTTGCATTCCAACTCTGTATTTTTCTCCTTAGGAAGAATCCATGGTGTTCTAAATTATTTATCATTCAGTGAAGATTTATTATTTTGTACTTCAAGTTGATGTTTTCTACTTTTATCACTTATATTTCCACTTAGACACTATACATTAATTTTCCTCTTATATTAGACCCACATCGTTTCCTCTATTTAGAGAACATAATAATCACTGTTTTATTAAGCTACAGATATATGTATATTTATATATATGTTAACATATTTCAAGAAAGTGAGAGATGTTTACTCTACTGTTCATTATAGACTCTATGATAGAAGTTATATATCACATAATTGATGAATAGTTTATTAAATGATAATAAAAGTACGCAAAAATTATAGTGTATGCTAATAATAGGTATTAAGGAATTGTTTAAAATTTAGAACTAGAAGATATTTTTGAAAGCACCTCCTTTTAAAAAAAATCATTTTATCAGGGGCTCTCACAGCTCTTATAACATTGCATACATCAGTTGTGTCAAGCACATTTGTACATATGTTGTCATTATCATTTTCTAAACATTTACTTTCTATTGGAGCCCTTGGCATCCAGCTCCTCTTTTTTGCCCTTCCCCACAGCCTCATGACCCCTTCATAAATCATAAATATTGTTTTCATATCTTACACCAACTACTGTCTCCCTTCACCCAAGTTTCTATTGTTCAGCCCCCTTATTCAAAGTAAAATGTCCTTAATGTAGAACAATAAACAAGTCAAAAATAAAGAGAATATATTTAATCTTGCAATTTAAGGACAAGGAAAAACCATGATTTTTGCCTTGAATCATCAAATCTCATATCCTAAGATTCAAGACTGAATAATAAGAACCTAAATCATCAAAACTGCACTAGCAAAAAAGTCTGTCATAATTTTGCTGAGTCGGTCACAATATTTCTTTGTGTGTGACCGATCCAGAGGCTTCCATTCAAGAACTGACAAAGGGATCCTTCCAAACTCATGAAATCAATCAAAATACCTTCTACTTTCAGGCAAGCAGTGGCACACTGATTTTATCAAAGAAGCAGAGGAACTTGATTTATTCTTGGATTTTACCCAAAGATCAGCAAATCAATCCCCATGTCCATTTATCAAAAACGGATAGACTCATAAAGTTCTCTTCTCTGAATAATTATAGTATTAAAGCATTAAAAATGCTTATAAACTATCTAAATGAGTCGAAATGTACTCCTTTCCAACGTATTCACTCTCAATGCTTTGTACTAGTTAAACACTACAGTGCAAGAAAAACCCACTTGGAAAAGTACACAAAAATAGTTGAGTCTCTCCGATATAAGGCGAGAGCATTGTTACAATTCAAAGCAAACGTAGAATACCCAAAATGCTATTTGAACAAAAATTAGTTTTTAGAAATGCTCTCTTGTTCTTCCCTAAACCTAATACAACTGGATGGTATCAGTGCAGTTCTGTGTATTATTATGCTTATTAATAATAACTTGGAAAATATTAGTAACATCAAAGGCTAAGTGAATTCATTAAGTAAGTGAAAATCTCAATTCACCACTTTTTCAAAAGATACAAACATTTCAATTGGATCTCAGTTAAATTTTCCTTGTGTTCTACTCACAAATAAAAGTTTTGCTAAGCAAAGAACTAAAGTTCTGAGCAAAATCACAAATATAAATGTTTAATTTCATGGGAATAAACTAATGTCAAATACTCTTGCATACTTTAAAAAACACTCACTTACTAGGTATATTTCAGAAATAGAATTATACCCCCAAATCTAGAAATTAACCAAAACCATAGTGGAAATTACTTGGAATCATTCTGCAGGAAATGAATATCTAGCCTCAATTTAACAAATCAGCATTTATATAAATCATTATTTAAGATTTCTTTTCCATTGGAATTCATTGTTAACTATTCATTGAAACTGGTTCCCAATAGAGTGAAATACTGTAGATAAAATGCCTTTATGAAATACTTGAAATTATCATTTGCCTTTAAAGTAGGGCTCACAAAGCAGTAGCCCACATGTTGACTCTTGCCACCGACATGTGTTTTCTTTAATGTGTTTCCTTGCTATTAATTGAATTTTAAAGTTTCTAGAGGTGTCCTGCACAGCTCCAACTTGCTATACTTCCCTTCTGCCTCATTCTCATATGCATTTCACTTTAATATTATTTCCTTGCTGTCTAAATACTTTGAGATTTTTGTGAGCTTAGATTCCAAATTCGATGCAATGTTCACCAAATCAGTCTTCCCCTGCAGTTACAGCATGTTAGAACTATTATAACTGGAAAGTTCTCCCAGAAAACCAAAGTGGCTTCCCGATAGTTTAATGTACATTAATAAGTATGCCAAGTGCTCTTCTAAGTCAACAAGCAGAAATAACCCTTATTTTAAAGTTTCATATTTTGTCATGAATCTCTACGCTTATCTCTTGAAAAATAAATTTCACTTCCTCCACACTTACCCCTCAGTGCCGGCAGCAAGGATCTCTCCTTCTTGTCATCGCATTTGTTACACTCACTGAAGTAGAGGAGTAAGAAGACATCAACGAGAACCCACATCAGTGAAGTGGCTAGAACCACCTTGCAGTAAACGAATCTCCTCATGTCTCTCCTTGATTTTTAGTTAGCACGCAAATCGAAGACAGACGTGACTGTGATAAATCCAAGCCACTGAGTTGAACTCCAGATGCATCCCACTGTAAAAAAAATAAATAGATAAAAGGGCTATTTCATTTATTGTATATTTTGTTTCATTTAAATAATATCTATTATCAAGTATACATTTTCCATATAAAAATTCACCTGGACCTTGAGACCCAAAACTAGAAGATCACATGGATGAATGTCATAGGCAAGCCTAGTAGCTAAAATTCTAACAACAAATCCCAAATCTGCCACTACTCTCTGGAGCCCTCGACAAATCATTTGATTCCTTCAAACTGCGTCATCTCTTCCTTAAAGTCCTGCCATAATATTCTTTATGGTACCAGGTGGTCAAATAGCACAGTTATAAATTTATCATGAATCATATTTCTGAAGAGTTTATAGCATTGAAATCAGAATAATCACGTGAAACAATTTCATATAGCAGCTAAGAGTTGGCCTTCAGAGATGATGATCTTGGTTTACCAACTTCCTAGCTGTGGAAGTCTTTCCACGCCTCAATGTTCTCATCTGTAGAATGAGGGCAATAATGCCAACCATGAATCTCTGCTATGATGATTAAGCATGATAGCTCTTGCAGTACATCTTGATGAGCGCATCGTCATTAAGAGAGAAAACAGGAAAAAAACAAAACTTTCTCAGAGTCTCAAATAGGCAATTCATGAAATAAATCAACCGTTATTTAGCTTTTAAAACCCCATCTGGTCAGCACAAAAGGCATCCACTACAGATGTGTATTCTAGAATAGCTAGTATATATTCAAACATTTTAGTAGAGGAGAAACAACATATTAGAGCAAAGTGATTAAAATAACCAGAACAAGAATCCCAAAGGGCACAGTAAAGACATGTTCAAAAGGAAATATAAAATTAACATCATATATCTACATATATATATTTGTATTATTTGACTCACACAAATAACAGCTACCCAATCAGTTTCTATCTGTATAATAAATTCAACTCAAACTAATCACATATTATTTGCTATATTTAAAGCAAGATCAAGTGAGTTATACAATAAGTGATGTGAACAAGATAATATGTTTGTGATAGAAATATTTGCAGTAAACTGTCATTAAACATAAGGATAGTAGAAGTCTTTCATAACATTTGTCAATGTAAAAGATCAAAGTACAATTTGCTCAGGAGGAAGCTCTTTATATTAATGGCAGCTGATTTACCATCATAAAGCGACACAAAAGCTGCTGTCTGTTCTATCTAACAAATTAAAATTCGCAAAAGTGGCAATTAACAAAGCAATTATTATAACAAAGTCTATTTTCAATTTTCCATATAAGATTTCTATTCATTGAGGATATGATTTTTTTCTAAAACAAAGAGATCGATCGCCAAAATGTGCAAATTCAATGAACACATGGCATTTGGGTCTTGTTTGTTTCATTGCTTATTTGTTGCTTCTCTTTAAAAAGTGTGGCAACCTAATTATCTAGTTTGTTTTATTTCCATTTCACTTTCTGTAAAAATTGTAGTTAAATATGTTACTCAGCCTCTAAACTGGGTAACTAGAAAATAATTTCCCCATATAGTTTGCATAAGCTCTTCTGAACTAGAAATAAACTGATCATTCAAGCTATGAAATTCTTCATTTCCCTTGGTCCTAAGGTGGACTTTGTCCCTTCAGTTTATTGTAGACAATATCCCACATATCCAATACAAGGATGGTAATCAAAGGATTACCCCTGAGGTTGTAGAGAAAGCCCTTTGAAGCTTATAAACAGCGCCATCCTTGGTTCTGCAATTGAATAAAGAGATGCCCTTCAAGTAGACATTTTGCCCAGGTGCTTCATTTCTTTTCTTTTAACATATTTCCTGCCCTGTTGACTTCACAAAATATTTTGAGGCTTAAATAGATGAGGTAGGAGAAGGCCATTTGAAAAGAAAATAGGAAGATACCATTCTAAAAGAAAGTCTTTAATTACTTAAATGACTTAATATTGAATTTTAAACTGTCTAATATAAGTCAATTTCTAATAGGAACTATATAGTTGAAGTTATTGAGAATTTAATTTAGGCTATAGTTATGAATAAAGTTCTAATCAACTATGGCCACTCCAAGCATTTTTCAAATTATTTTCATTTTATAGCCTGCTGGATCAATGTATCAAGACATTAACACTCTTATATTTTTGTGACAAAACTAAATTGGTATTTGCATGGTCTTATGTATGAAACAGCCTTCCTTTTTGTATTTGAAATTTCTAATTTTTAATTATACCCTAAAAATACAGAAATTTACCATTCACAAAGTACCTTTGGTATTTTAAAACTAGAAATGCCAGGTATCATATTCCAATACTCTGTTTCAAAAGAACACAACTGATTACGCAGAAAGATGGTACATTATACACAAGAACTTGAACCAATATAAACACAGCTGGTGGACTGGGTTTATTTAAGAAAACCAGCATCTGTATTATTATTTTTATTCCAATAAGCCCCGATTTATTTGCAAACACAGCTTGGTTTCTGAAGTAATCAGGAAATTAAAGATCTACATTGTCACTGGTTTGCCAGCTCTACTTGGATAATGACCAAATTCCATAAACTACAGGCTCTTCTATACAAAAATACAACGCTTTTCTAATTGTTCTAAGTACCTTTTGAAGGTAGATATTCCCCCTCTTCAAAAATATTTCTCTACGTAATCAACCTAGAAAATCACTTAGTGCCATCTTCCCTCTGGTTAGTCATATTACCTTTCTCTTTTCTCCTTGCCTCTATGTAATGAATCTCATATTCTATACGATGTTATTGGATTTTAACTTTAAAATATGTGCCATTCATCCTGTATTTACCAAAACTTACTGCCATCAAATCAATTTTGACTAATAAGTGAGCTATATCAAGCATTGGTTTGAAAAATAATAGAAGAAAATCTAGATAAAGTTTCCAGGTTCAGTAATTATATTTTTTAAAATAAGAAAAAAGTCTGTTTTAAATCAGAAGTTATCTCTAAAAAATTATGAACTTACCCAGCAAATCTAGTTGAGTTACTCCTAGACAAATTTTTATCTATAGTCATATATTCCCTTTTGTGTAAAATCACATAATAGGTAAAAATGTATTCCATCTCTTTTATGAGGCTGCAGGATTCTGGAAGGTAGTATATAAGGCCGCTGGTTGTGCTCCCAGAAGTTTCAGGTACCCAACACACTTAAAAGGTTTTAAATAACTCTGTAGGAGCTTCTGTGAGCAGATGACTGGGCAATTTTTCAGAGGTTACTTTATGAACAGATTAATCCTATAAAGCACTGAAAATGTTTTGAATTAGGTTCAAGATTGATTAAAAGACTCATCTTGTTATAAATGAAGATTAAATATTAAGGTACAACAAGGAAATCCATTCATAGCTGTAAAGTCAGCCCACATAAAAAAGATACATTAAGAGACAAAAATAAAGATCAATGAATATTTGGAGAGATGAAGAAATAAATACAAAACTGTCCTGAATTGCATTTAATTAAACCCAAAACCAAAAAAACCCCATTACTATCAAGTCCATACTAAAACATAGTGACTCTCTAGGGTAGGACAGAACTGCCTCATCTGCTTCTCAAAGCTGTCCTCTTTTATGAAAGCAAATAGTCACACTTCCTCCCAAGAAGCCACTGATGAGTTCAAATTGTGAACCTTTGTTAGCCCACAGACCTCCTTACAGTTAACTAAGAAAAGGATTTAACGTCAAATTGATCATCATGAGGTAATCATATAAACTTTAAAAAACAATATTGTAGAGTTATTATGCCATAATAACTGGGTATCTGGGTACAAACAATAACTAATTGTAAGCCTTTATTCAAGTTACTGAAGTGTTCTATGCTCCAGCTTCCCTATTTATAAAGTGAGACTAATATTTATACTTACTCATAAGGTGGATGTTTATTAAATGAATTAATACATCTAAAATACATAGAAGAGCTAAGGGAAACAGAGGGGAAAAAAGAGTTGAAAAGAAGATTTTTTTTTTTAAAGGATGGATCAAAAAGACAAAGTAAAATAATATCATGAACTATTCAAACCTACAATGGAAGAATGTGCTCAGCCGAAAAGACTGAAGACAATATTCAAAGCTTGAGCTGCAATACTGGAGGGAGAGGTGCTGCCAGAATACTCTTTAGAGCAGAAATGCCCAGACTTCATCGCACCTGTTTTGGACATATCATCAGGAGGATGAAGTAGAGGGTCGGAGAAAAAGAGGAAGCCCCTCATAAAACGGAATGATAAAGCAGCTGCTACAATAGGTTAAGCCTTACAACTGGGAGGACGGTGCAAGACTGAGCAGTATTTCCTTCCTTTGGACACAAGGTTGCTAAGTGTAAGAACTGATGCTAAGGCATCGAACAATAGAAGGATGAACAGAAAGGTTAGTTGTTGGGAAAAGACAAGGGTTGTTCTGAATGGGTTAAAATCAGAATTCAGTCGG